AGAAAATCCACTACTGGATATTTGTTTACATTTTCAGGGGGAGCTATATCATGGCAGTCTAAGTTGCAGAAGTGTGCTGCACTTTCAACAATTGAAGTAGAGTACATTGTCGCTACAGAAACTGGCAAGGAGATGATATGGCTCAAACGGTTCCTTCAAGAGCTTGGATTGCATCAGAAGGAGTATGTCGTCTATTGTGACAGTCAAAGTGCAATAGACCTTAGCAAGAACTCTATGTACCATGCAAGGACCAAACACATAGATGTGAGATATAATTGGATTCGTGAGCAGGTGACGAACGAATCTTTACAGGTCAAAAAGATTCACACAAGCGAAAATCTTGCGGATATGCATACCAAAGTGGTACCAAGAGACAAGTTTGAGCTATGCAAAGAACTTGTCCGCATACACTCAAACTAGAAACTGCGGTGTTATCCCCTTCAGGTGAATGAGACTGGAGGGGGAGATTTGTGAGGTCCAGCCCCTTAATCTAAGGAAATTGTTTTCTTCCTTTCTTCTTTATTTTCAAAGTTGGCAGAAGCAGGCAGCCCACGTTTCTCATTTTTCTGTCAAAAATGACAGGCTGCAGAAGTTGAAAGGTCAAGGTTGGTAGGCATATTTTGCCTATAAAATGAGAGCTTCGGCTCTCATTCTTTCATCACAATCTCAGAGGAAAATATAACTGAGAGCTAGAAAGAAAGAGTGAGGTTTCACAGACAGGGTATAAGAAAATAGTCTGTAAAGAAAATAGAGAGTGTGAGCAATATTGTAGTGAGGTGAAATATCAAAAGAGGGTTATTTCTTTTGAGTATTGTAGTGGTCTTTGTAGTATTTTACTCGGGCCTACAAAGTGTAAATTCCTTACTATAGTGATATCAGTTGCTCCTCTCGGGATCGTGGTTTTTCCCTTATTCAGAAGGGTTTTCCACGTAAAAATCTTGGTGTCATTGTTACTCTTTTATTCTTGTTAATCACCGTATCTCGGTGCTACATTATTATTCCGCTTTTATTACCGTAAATATTATTTTGGTTGGGGGTTTATTCCCAACATCAGGCTGTTCCCCTCCATCAATCAGCCAGTGATCTTTCAATCAGAAGAGAGGCAGATAACATCAAAGAAACTGAATCACGGTTTTGCCAATTAAAAAGGAAGTTTCCATTTGTTCCATTTGATTCTAAGCCAAGCTCTAGTGAGTTCTTTGATTCCTGGTGGTCCACTTATATGAACAATCGCGACAAGACTGCTAGACCTCTCAGTCCATCTGGCAGACAAGAATTTGATGCTCCTGTTGAAGTTTGGCAAAATGCCAAAGTCCCACATTGGTTGGGAGTTAAGTTTGGGGGGGATTTTTCCCCTATAAAAGAAGGCCTAATGTTTAGGATTGAAACACACCTCTCATTTGCCTTCTCATCTGTTTAAGGCATTTGTATCTTCTCTCTTTAGTATTATTTCACTTGTATTTTTGGAGTGGAATAAAATATTGGTTGTGTCCGAGGAGTAGGCAAAATTAGCCGAACCTCGTAAATTCTGGTGTTCCCTTTATTATTGCTTTATTGTCTTATTTATTATTTGGTGGCTGTCATAATTTTTGGTATAGTAGTTGTGACTTATTCACACTCTATACATTTGGCTTCCGCAACAGCTCCCAGGTCCAATGGTATCAAAGGCAATTCTCAGTCTGCAGGAAATTTTGGCCAGAATATGAAGAGAAAATATAAAGGTATGATAACCTTCTTGATTACCAGATTCATTTGATTTGCAATAAATCTCGGAAACAACCTCTCTATCTTTATAAGGTAGGGGTAAGGTTTGCGTACATACTACCCTCTCCAGACTCCACTTATGAGATTACACTGGGTTAGTTGTTGTTGTATTTGATTTGTCGTAAAAGGAAAATGTTGGTAAATGAAGCCAAATAGATAAGTAATCATTATATTCTTGCTTGCCAATGCGATGGCTCGTTGAATCCTTTATATGATAACCCAAGGGTCTCAATAAGGTTAGTATAATATTAGACTATTAGTTGACCTTTAGGGTTGAGGATTTGTGCGTATACCATTATATTAGATTTTCGGATAGCTTTCCGTGTTCTCTCTGCTTGTCTTTTTCTTTGTTTGGTTTCTGTTTCTGCATTATATCTTGTATTGCCTCCTTATTCATGCCTTAATTGCTTTTAGGGGATAGTATTCCATCACAACCTTTGGGACAGCAAGACGAGCCCATACAACAAAGGAACTCACATGAGGTGGGTGAAAAGATACCTACGAGAACAACATCATGCAAGGTAAATATTCTCACCCCCAAAATGAGCCTTTGGGATCCATTAGCGTGATTCCTTCACCTCACTGTTGATTCACCTTTTCAGAAGATGAAGACTTCTCCGGGGGAAGTGCCGCTACCAGGCACAACTTCTGCCATACCTTCTACATTAGTTGTTCCTACGAGTTGTACCCCTGCAAATGAAGACAGGACTAAGACAGACATCCAAGTTTATGCTGATGCTACATCGATCTCCACCTCGTCCTCCACTTCTGACAAAGTAAGTTCTCCTTATTACATGTGTCATTATGTCTTACTACTCCATCTATGTTTGAGAGCTTTTTCTTTTCAGGATGGTGAGGACGGCACAGTTTCTCCTTCATTAGCTAAAACCAGAAACAAGACATCTGATATTATTGAACCACCTGATTGCGTTGTTAAATTTGATAATCTAGAAGACTTCTTTGCTCGAGTCAGTGGACAAATTAAACGAGCTCAATCTCTCGGTTTTTCTGCTTATCAATGTTCTCCAAATTCTACACCGTCAGCAGAAATGCTTGCCAAAGCGAAAGATGACATTGAGAGATTATTAATCATGCCTTCTCAGGACATGCTTCTACCCAAAAACTGTTCGACATTAAGTGCTGCACTATCAATGTATGCTGCAACACCTGATTTATCGGCTGAGAGAGCGCTTGCCTTGGAGAAACTCAAAGAGAACCTTCCGCACCTTTCCTTGACCCTGCGTAGAGCTAAGAAGGACCAAGAGGAGTATTATAAGGAGGCTGCCAAGAAAGTGCTCCTCGTCGATGAGCTCACAAAAGATCAGGAACTCTATACTAATCTCAAAGACTCAAACGACAAGCTTGAATGTACAATCAGCAAGTTGAAGGCAAGTTTGAAGGAGGCAAAGACAAAAAGAAAAGCAATCCAGGAGCAAAAATTGAGTTTGGCTAACAAGTGTTTTGAAAAGTCGATTGCTCTTGATCAAATGGAAGCTGACTTTCCTGTCCTGGAGGAGATGAAGAAGCTAGCTGATTCGGATGTTGCCCGAGTGGAAGAAAGCTTGTGAGACTTTAAGAGTAAGATAATCGAGTGATCGCTTGCATAAACCTGTCTGTCATGTGGATTTGCTGGCTAGTCATCCATAGTTTAAGAGCATGTAAATAACTTTTTTGCTATTTACAAACTTTCTCTTTTGAATGGCATCTGTAAGTATAGCCAAGTTAGTTCAAACGTGTAAGTGAAATGAGGAAGTGTACTTCTAGTTATGGTTTTTCATGGCACAGATTGATGGATAATGGATTCGGTTGTTTTTGTGCTGAAGCATTCTCTCTATTAATTATTTTTTGATAACGCTGGTGTCTAAGCCAATTTACATGCACCTCAACTACATTATCAGATACATTTTACTTCCTACTAACGCAAATATTGGGTAACTTTACTTACCAAGGTTTCGGCCGATGAAAACATATACAAATTTGTAAAACTTTGCTTACCAAGGCTTCATCATCCCCGAAGAAGATTAATGAACAATCGCATGGTTTTTCTTCTTCTTCTTCTTCTTCTTTTTCCCGCAACAAAATATTACTCTTCACCAAATTAATGCGGCCTAACCAAACACCCGAAAGAAGTTCTTTCTCCATCGAACGGGAATGGACGAAGAACGAGGAGGTTTAGGGTCCACTTGGTTTAAACGAAAGAAGAGATCTTTCTAGCGATTCAGTTCCTAGAGGGTTCCATTTGGAGAGAGTTGAGGCTGAAGAACTGGGTTGGGTGTTATTAATGTCAGCTAATGCGACCTATAACTCTGAGGACTTAAAAATATTGAGAATGAGACTTATAAATCGCATTTATCTAATGCGATTTATAAGTCGCCTGAATACGATTTATTAGTCGCGTTCTATTAATGCAATTTATAAATCGCATTCTTGATGTTGCAATTTACAATTAATGTTCGCAGAATGGAAGCCAAGTTTTTCCACTTGGTAGATCCTGATTCGTTACATATAAATTATTTTATCAAAATTTTATCTCTTCATTTATAATTTTTTGATAAAAATGACTTTTAGAGTTTTTTCCTACAGAGTAATGGGTTATTCTTCACTATATTATAGCACATAGTTAGTAAAGGCCTAAAATAATTTAACTCATAAAGTATTGAGCACACATATACATCAATGAATTTCTACATTTATCAAAAAAATTGACAACCATTAATTGTATAAGGGGTTACCATCAAAAGGAGAATTTTCTTAATAAATAATTCGCTATTGGAGAATTATAAATGAAAAGTTAATTTTTTTTAAAGAAATTCATATGTAACTGCAAGTAAATTCAGAATATAAATCAAGAATGAGAAAAAACCGAAGCATATTTATCAGCGATTTCACATTCGGCAAATATGTCCTTCAAGTATTGGCCTTTTCTTCTCATTTTTTCGTAAAAGCTTTTATATATCTCTATTATATTTAAATACGAAATTGGTAGCTAACAAGGATTTCAATGTCATACTATTTGTGTGATCAGAAGTGATTAAATCAGTAAAATGATTTTTTTTGTTATAAATCTTTACTTGCATGTCATAATATTTGTGTTATCATAAAATCTTTTCATTAACATCAAAATAAAAAAAAATGTTATTTATTTTAATATGTGATTCTTTTGGAGAGTGGAACCTTGGAGTAACAGTAAAATTGTCTCCGTATGACCTGTAAGTCACGGGTTTCAAGTAGTGAAATCAGCCACTGATGCTTGCATCAGGGTAGGTTACCTACGCCACACCTCTTGGGATGCGACCCTATATGAAATTGGTCACGAATTTGAACCGTGGAATCAGTCACTCACACCTCTTGGGGTGAGACCCTTCGTGAATGCAGGATGACCTATTGGTCACGGGTTCGAGCCATGGAATCAGTCATACACACTTCTTGGGGGTGAGACCCTTTGTGAATACAAGATGACCTATAGGGCACGGGTTCGAGTCGTAGAAGTATCCATACACACCTTTTGGGGTGAGACCCTTCGTGAATGCGAGATGACCTATAGGTCACGGTTATGAACCGTGGAATCAACCACTAATAATAGCATCATGGTAAATTGGCTATATTACACCCCTTGGGGTGCGACCAAATGCGGGATACAAAAGCGGATCTAGGATTTGAAGGTGGCAGGTGCCATAATTTTCTTTAATGTATACCATGTAATGACTAATATGGAATTTTAGGAACATTTATTCAGGTATTTTGGGTTTATTCGGGTTAACCTAATAGGTATTTTTTATTTGCAAATATAAAAATTACATCTCAGATATATAAAAAAAACGTAATTAGTATTTTAAATAAGGAATAACACCTTTATTATAACAACACAAGTAAAATCAATATTTTCACTAGAAAATTACATCTTTTTCTATATACTAAAAATAAATTTACACAAGTAAGATAGCATCTTCAACAAGAAATTTATATCGATCAGAATAAGAAATCTTTTTAAAATAATATCTTCAATAGGTAAACTATGCCCCATAAGTATAAAATAAAATAAAATATAAGTTCCCAAAAATTAAAACTATAAATCTCATATTTTTAAGCAATGTTTACGAACTTTTTATCGTAATTTAACAATAAAGAGATTTCAATTATATTTAAAAATTATATAATAATATAAATTTTTATGATATAATAAAAATTAAAAAAGTATTGGTCTCAATCCAAAATTCCCACTAACACCCAAGTTTTTCGGATTTGAAAGAAGAAAACTCATAAATTTAAGATTAAGAGGAATGTTTATTTTATATAATTTTGAAGTTTTGGAGTCTTTATATTGAATGTTCTTGCTAGAGACTATATATAAAATAATAGAATAGAAAACAATATAAAAAATAATAAACGACAAATAAAAAATTGGGAGGCAGCCGAAAAGGAAAATAACTAAGACAAAAGAAAATAAAAAGCACAATGAAAATAAGAAGTTAGACAAGGTTCAAGATAAATTCCAACTTGAATTTTACACATGAGAAAAGCTTTCAAAAAGGTCTAACAGCTATGGTACCATTGTCTAGTTATGACTGTGGGTGACAAGATCAGATATTTATAGTATGTTTGGCCAAGCTTCTCCAAGCCGAAAACACTTTTTTTTCTTTCAAAAAAGTACTTTTAAGTATAAGCAGAAACAATTTTGGAGAAGCAGAAAAAAGTAACTTCCTCCTAGAAGCACTTTTGAGAAAAATACACTTAGAAGCAATTTTTAAAAGATTGACCAAATACTAATTGCTGCTTAGAAGTATTTTCAAATTAATTAGCAAAACACAAACTGCTTTTCTCCAAAAGTACTTTTGAAAAAACAAAAAAAGATTAAAAATGTCCCTAAATTATTGAAAAAGGTTTAAGAATATCTTTCATCCACCTATCAGGCTAAAAATATCCCTATATCCACCTTTTTGGTTCACTTATGCCCTTTGACCGTTAGGTCAATGCTGAATTAAAAATAATAATTATTTAAATTCCACGTGGCAACTTCTTATTGGCCAAAATTAAAAAATCCAACCCATTAGAAAGACCTACCCATATCTATCAATTTTTCCTACTAACCCGATTCAAACACTAATCCGACCCGAACAAAAAGTTCAACTAAAAAAAAGAGGCCCACTTCTATCAAACTCCATGGAACAAAAGCTCCATGGAAGTTGCAGCGAACATATAGACCAAATTTACTAATGCGTGGTTTTCTTTTTCTTGTTATGGCATCTAGTTCAATTTATATGTGGAATTTAAATAATTATTTTTTAACTTCAACATTGACCTAAAAGTCAAAGGGCATAAGTGAACCAAAAAGGTAGATAGAGTGATATTTTTAGCCCAATGGATAGATGAAGGATATTTTTAGACCTTTTTCAATAGTTGAGATACATTTTTGACCCTTTTCCGTTGAAAAAAAATACTTTTTAAAATAATCTGATATTTTTCGCTTCTCCAAACAGACCATTAACCTAGCTTAAATTTTTTTTAACATATGTATATAAAATATTTATTATCTTAGCGGGTGTCACGCCACGCTCTTGGAGAGGTGCATGGTGCCAAACCAATTGGAAATGGGAGGGTAATTATTAGTACTAGTTCTCGTACCATCCATTCCTGAAATAGACCTTCAAATAAACACATTCAAATAGTACAATTCAAACTCCCAAATATTTTTTTAAGTAGTACTCCCTCCGTTTTAATTTATGTGAACTTATTTGATTGGGCGTGAAATTTAAGAAAAAAATAAAGATTTTTGGAATTTGTGATCCTAAGCAAGTCCAAATGGGGGTCAGAGTATTTGTGTGGTTATAAAAGATTCTCATTAAGGGTAAAGTTGTAACTTTAAGCTAAATTGTTATCAAATTTAGAAAGGATTCATTCTTTTTGGAACGGATCAAGAAGGAAATAGGTTCACGTGAACTGGAACAGAGAGCGAATACTATATATATTTTTAATCTCAACCAAATCACTATTCGTTCACTCCATCTATTAGTTATTTCCCCTCTGCGTATTTCTTCACGTTCAGATAATAATGTTATAGCAGATAGCTGATTTTCTGGCAGCTACTATCTTCAACGTCTCTTGTCTAGCTTATAGGTTTGTCAATCAATTTAGTTTTTAGCTTCTCTCCTACTTTTACTCTGTGAATTTGTTAATTAATTTAATTTTTTTCCATGATCTCTGTTTCCTAATTTCTTATTCTTAATCTGCTCATCTTTTTTGACTTTGAGAAATTGGTGTGCTGCATTTGGAATGTTTTTGCTTTAACTAATGTTAGATACAGATGTCACTTTCTTAAGGGAGTTAATTTTTCTCAAAGTAAAGTTTGTTAACAGGTGGAGTACCCAATTATTATAATTTTTTTTTTTTTTTTTTTTTTTTTTTTTTTTTTTTTTTTTTGGATTGGCAAAAAGATATTCGTTTGTTAAGGTTAAGTGGGCGTTTGGACATAAGAATTGTAAAATTCAGAGAAAAAAGTGAATTTTTTTTTCAAGTGAAAATGGTATCTAAAAATTAGAGTTATGTTTGGACATAGAATATAATTTTGGGTGTTTTTGAATTTTTATGAGTGATTTGAGTGAAAATTTTGAAAAATAGCCTTTGTAGAGTTTTTCAAATTTTCAAAAAAAATTCAAAATTTATCTTAGTGAAACTTTTACGGCCAAACATTTCGAAAAAAAGTAAAAAAAATTCGAAAAAAAAGTGAAATTTTTTTTTTATGGCCAAACGGGCTAAGTCTTCCATCTGTAGACCATCAGATGCATGCTACAAATGAAAATTTTGAAAGAGAATTCTATTTTATCTCTGATTTTTATGAAAGATTTCATTTTTTCATCAAATGTCATCTTAGTGTAGTTAATAATGGTTATAAGAAGTTGTCAAATTAGTTATTTTGTAAAATCTCTGAAAATTATGGCTTGATTTTAGTGGAAAATTAACACAAGACTCCCTTTGGTCCAATAATGAGTTTCATGGATAGCACTATAGGCCATTTTCATGTATGCATTTGGGATAGTGGAATAACCATTTAACAAAAACTAAATGGATGAAGATTCCTAAAGAAATGAGGTAAAAGGGCTGAATTCATTTATCTGCTGCTGAGTTTCAGAATTTTGAAGATTATACAAATGGCTTAGACCNGGGGGGGGGGGGGGGGTCGGGTCGGATATGGTAAGGGTCGAAAACGGATAATACAAAAACAGATGAATTATCTGACCTAACGCATATTTAATACGGATACAAAATAGGTTAACCGGTAGATAATATGGTTATCCATGTATCCATGACTTCTTGAATATGATCACTTTTGGGAGAATTCCTAGTCACCCAAACTTGAGGAACCCCCAATTTGAAGCGTCGCAAACGTAAAAGTTAAACTCATTAGTTATCCATAGGTTATCCATTTTCTAAGCGGATAATATGGTTCTTATCCATATTTGACCTGTTTTTAAAAAGTTCATTATCCAACCTATTTTTTTAATGGATAATATGGATGGATAACTGTTTTCTTTTATCTATTTTGCCACCACTAGCACTAGCACTAGCACTTCCACTCACATTTTCTATGTCAATTTAATCTAGATTTTAGGGTTACTTATTAAATCACAGTGCTAAGGAAATATCTATATCAGTTTGTGTTATTTAATTTTTTTCCTTGACAAGCATGTAATAGCAGGTTGTTTAAGGTAAGAAAAGTTTATGAGGAATTCAAGTTTGTGAGCAGATGATTGAACTCAGGCTTTCTGCAGGTTTTTGCCTGAGGCGTTTTCAATCTTTTTCTTCTTAACTTGCTTCAGTGCATTTTGAAATGGCGAAAGAGAAGAGTGCAAGCTTAGGTAATAATGTTTCCCAGGCAAAGAAAAGTTTGGCCAAGAAAATGCAAGAGTTGAACAAAGAGCGGATTGTTGACAAGATATTTGTTCCTATTCCTGGATCATCCTCTAATTTTATATTAGGTCCATGCTTTAAGACTACGTTTCCTCCGGACCTCTATCCTCTTTACCCCTTAGCTGAAGGAGAGAAGCTACTTCTACACTCCGTGGAACCTGATTGGTTCAATGGTAAGTATTTGAAGTCACGGCCTTCTGCAAGTAGAGATTGGATTGATTGGGTAGATAGAGTTGAGAAGGCCAAGCGGGAGGTGTGGAAATCAGCGGATATATATGATGCCATTCAGTTGACAAAAAATGTTATCCCCGTGGACAAAAACCTTGTTTATGCTTCCTTGTGCTATTGGTCAATCTCCACAAACTCGTTCCACTTCAGATTTGGCATGATGGGGCCAACAGTACTAGATATTGTTGCCTTGACTGGACTTAGACCGCATGGCGAGGAAGTCAGTGTGATTCTTGGGATGGCTGGATCAACTTGTGATTTTACCAAGTATGGAAAAATTTATGATAATGCCTTATTATACCACAATTATCTCGACGCGTCAGAGGGAGAAATGGCTGTGACAGAGGAAGAACATATATCTTTTCTGTTTGCGTGGCTCTACGATCATCTGTTTTGGGACTCTTCTGTAAACATGATCAAGCAATGCACAAAACTGGCATTTGCTCTTGCTACGGGTAGAAAGCTTTCTTTGGCACCGTTTCTCTTGTCTAATTTATATCATGGATGCGCTGATATCATTAATGGCAAGTTTCAGTATGAAAGAGGTCCATTATGGATCTTGCAGTTCTGGCTACAGTCTTACTTTCCAGAATTTCGACCCGCAACCTTGGATTACGGTAATGCTCCGATCTGTGGGTTTCCCTTGACTGAAGGTGCATTGAGATATAAATCATTCAAGGAATACTTTAACTTCTTTCGTAAATGCTCATCGAGAACAGCCAGCCAATTCACGCCATTTTTTTCTAGGAAGTTTGGACCTGAGTGGTTTAAAAGGTCACTTGATCCTTACTTCCAAAAACTTAATAGGACAGAGTTAAAAGAGATTTGGGCTAGTTATCTTATTGCTCGAGACCTCCCATACAGTATCCTTCTAGATGAATCCTCGAAGTGCAAATGTGGGGTAGAACATTATTCTCCAAATCAGTTTGCTCGACAGTTTGGCATGACTCAGGCTGTTCCCGTGCACCAATCAGCCAGTGATCTTTCAATCAGAAGAGAGGCAGATAATGTTGAAGAAACTGAATCAAGGTTTTCCCAATTAAAAAGAAAATTCTCATTTGTTCCATTTAATATTAATCCGAGCTCTACGATGTTCTTTGATTCCTGGTGGTCCACTTATATCAACAATCGGGACAAGACTGTTATCGGTGTCCTCAGGAAGATCTCAGTCCATCTGACACCCTGTGTTGCGCCTCTCAGTCCATCTGACAGGCAAGAAGTTGCTGCTCCGAAGTCCATTGGTGTTAATGGCAATTCTCAGTCTGCAGTAAAATTGGGACAGAATATGAAGAGAAAATATAAAGGTATGATAACCTTCTTCATGGAATAAACTACTCCATACGATTTCTATTTGGCTGGTATATCCTTAGGGATAGAGGAACTACCAGAGGTATTTGAATTGTGTTGTAAATAGAGAAGGAAAATGTTGGTCAATGAGGCTAAATAGATAACTACTTTGTTCTGATTGTATCCTTCATATGATAACCCAATGGTCTCAATAACAACAACAACAACCACCCAGTATAATCCCACAAGTGGGGTCTGGGGAGGTTAGGATGTACGCAGCCTTACCCCTACCCTGTAAGGTTAGAGAGACTATTTCTGATAGATCCTCGGCTAAAGACCAAGGGTCTCAATAAGGCTGGCATAATATTAGTTGACAAGGGTTGAGGATTTTGTGCATATACCATTATATATTTGTATTTATTAGATTTTCGGATAGCTTTCAATGTTCTCTCTCTGCTTCTTGTCCTGTTCTCTGTTTGGTTTCTGTTTCTGCATTTTGATGTCTTGTATTGCCTCTTTATTCATTTCTTAATTGCTTTCAGGGGATAGTATTCCACTACAATCTTTGGCACAGCAAGATGAGCCCTTACAACAAAAGAACTCGCATGACACGGGTGTAAAGATACCTACGGGAACATTATGCAAGGTAAAAATTCCCACCCCCAAACGAGCCGCTGCCCCCTGGGATTATAATGCGATCCATTGGCCTGATTCCTTCACTTCACCGTAAATTCACCTTTTCAGAAGATGAAGACTTCCCTGAGGAATATGCCACTACCAGGCACAACTCCTACCATACCTTCTATATCAGTCGTTCCTACTCCTGCTAATGAAGACAGGATTAAGACATCCATCCAAGTTTCTGCTGATGATACAGTAATCTCCACCTCGTGTTCCACTTCTGATGATGAAGTAAGTTCTCCGTATTACTTGTGTCATTATGTCTGATTACTCCATCTAACTTTGGGAGCCTTTTCGTTTAGGATGGTGAGGAAGGCACAGTTTCCCCATTATTAGCCAAGACCAGAAGCAAGACACCTGATATTACTGAACCACTAGACTGCCCTGTAAAATTTCATAATCTAGAAGACTTCTTTGCTCGAGTTAGTGGACAAATTAAACGAGCTCAATCTCGCGGTTTATCTGCTGATCAATCTTCTTCCAAAGATGACAAGATATCCGCCACGCAAAAGTCTACACTGTCAGCAGAAATGCTTGCCACTGTGAAAGATGACATTGAGAGATTACTAACCATGTCTTCTGAAGACTTGCTTCTACCCAAAAATTGTTCAACATTAAATGCAGCACTATCGACATATGCTGCAACACCAAATTTATCGGCTGAGAGAGTGCTTGCCTTGTGGAAACTCAAAGAGAACCTTCCGCGACTTTTCTTAACCTTGCGTAGGGCTAAGAAGGACCAAGAGGAGTATTATAAGGAGGCTGCCAAGAAAGTGATCCTCGTCGATGAGCTCACAAAAGGTCAGGAATGCTACACCAACCTCAAAGATTGCAATGACAAGCTTGAACGTACAATCAGCAAGACGAAGGCAAGCTTGAAGGATACAATGACAAAAAGAAAAGCAATCCAAATGCAACTATTGAGTTTGGCTAAGAAGTGTTTTGAAAAGTCTACTGCTCTTGATGAAATGGAAGCTGACTTTCCTCTCCGCGAGGAGATGAAGAAGCTAGCTGATTCTGATGTTGCCCGAGTGGAAGAAAGTTTGAGAGAATTCAAGAGTAAGATAATCGAGTGATGCTTGCATAAACCATCGAACAATAACAACCTACCCAGAATTATCCCACACCGTGGGGTTTGGAGAGGGTAGTGTGTACGCTGACCGTACCCTTACCTTGTGAGGAGCTTGCATAAACCATCCGTCATGTGAATTTGCTGGCTAGTGATCCACAGTTTAAGAGCATGTAATTATCTTTTTTGCTATGTACAAACTTTTCTCTCTTTTGAATGGCATCCCTAAGCATAGCCAAGTTAGTCCAAACATGTAAAATGAAACGAGGAAGTGTACTTCTCGTTATGGTTTCCGGTAGGGGTGAAATTCAAAAATAACCAGGTTTACAAGCAGTAATTGAAAAATAGCCACAATTTCAAAAGTAATCGAATTTAACCACTTTTCATGTAAAAATAAATATGAACGAAACACTTTTCAAAATCCGAAAAATATTCCACCATAATATACTGGAGTTCCAGCATAATATATTGGCCAAGCATAATATGTTGGAAGTTCATACACATGTGCTCCAATCTCCAGTATATTATGCTGGAACTTTCCATGTGTTGGAGTTCCAGTATAATATGCTGGAAGTTCATACACAGTTGCACCAAACTCCAGTATATTATGCTGAAACTTTCCATGTTGTAGCAAAATATTGACTATTTTTCAATGACTTTGCAAACGCTGGCTATTTTTCGATTACTAGTTCGAAAACTGGCTAGCCCGTGCTATTTTCACTAGGGTTTCTGGTAGGGGTATCAATTTAAGCCCAAGCCCATTTGAACTTTCATAATATGCTGGAAGTTCAGAAAACTATGAACGAAAACACTTTTCAAAATCCGAAAAATATTCCAGCATAATATACTAGAGTTCCAGCATAATATACTGGTCCAGCATAATATGTTGGAAGTTCATACACATGTGCTTCAATTTCCAATATATTATGCTGGAACTTTCCGTGTGTTGGAGTTCCAGCATAATATGCTGGAAGTTCATACACAAGTGCACCAATCTTCAATATACTATGCCGGAACTTTCCGTGTTACAGCAAAATATTGGCTATTTTTTACGACTTTGCAAATGCTGGTTATTTTTCGATTACCAATTCGAAAACTAGCTAGCCCGTGCTATTTTCACTATGGTTTCTGGTAGGGGTATTAATTTAAGCCCAAGCCCATTTGACCCGCCCAATCCATCCAAGGTCTCTATTAGCTTAACTACAACATATAATGCTTCAGTGTCGAACATATATAACTCAATATCAAATTTACAATGGCTGAAATAGATTCTCTAATGTAGAAATAAATATTGTCCATGCCTGGCATTGTAAAACAAAGACTTACAATAGGATCATTGAATATTTGGATTATAAACTCTGTGATGATCATTGAATATTTCGTACTTTCCAGTTCTTATTTTTTACATGCATGTTAGTAGGCGAGGCTATTTAAAGCCTCAATAGGATTAGTAAGGTAAGGTTTAGCCCGGTTTGAGTTGCCTTGGTCCTATGCCTTTGGAAAAATATCCACACGGCTATGAGATTATATGCCCTCGTGAGACTTTGCCGGCAGCTACACCATGAATCCTCTACATGAGGCTGTCATCATAAGGCAATGTAAGGCGCAGATGAGTGATTATATAGCCAAGACATATGGTTAACAATACTGGTGCTATTGTCCCCCCTTATTTGTACTTTTCCGAATTGTTGTATTTTTTTCTTTTTCTTTTATTAATAAAAAACTAGCTCTAGGCGCTTGCCTAGCGGATTGCCAAAAAAACAAAAAAAAAGACTTATCCTATTTTCCTCTCTATTGTTTTGTTGTTCTTTTTTCTAGTTCTACACTTTAATTAATTACTTCTAGCTCACAAAACCAATTGCTTCCTGGTAGTTACTAAAGGCTTTAGGAAACGACGTCGTTGCTCTTGTTAGATTGGCTGTGAAGTAAATTCTAGTGCTAGTAGTACATGATTAGTAGTTATGGTTGGAGTATAATGTTCGAGGGTCACTGGTGTACCAAGGTACGTTCGAAAATCGGTAGATAATGTGCCCGCTCCTCTACTATTCTCTACTTAAATAACAAGCATTTGTTTGCGACTCCTAACATGCGCCCAGAGGCGGACCTACATGGTGGCTTNTATATATACATATATTATTTTTTTTATCGCTGGTGATTAGCATACAGTGGTGCCTCCCTCTTGCTCAAATCCTGGGTCCGCCTCTGCATGCGCCCTAATCCACACATCAGAAGCAGAATAATAGCATCTCATATAAAAAAAATGAAGAAGTATTATTAGGTAAAAGAAAGCTCATCACAACATCACAAGAGAGTAAAAATGCTCAAAGAGGAAAGCACACATCCAATGACAACCTTAGTCTTACATTTATAATATTTAAGCATAAATTGCATTATTTATTTAAAAAGAAAACATAACTTGCATATAAACATAAATTTAGAAGAAACCTCATTTCATCAACGCCAAGTATAAGTGTAGAAGTGTGATTTTTGACCCTCCCCAAGAATTTTCACATTTTTAGCGTAAATATTTTATTTAATCTAATATAGCTATTTCAACTATTTTTGACTTCTATACATTATTTCGTTACAAAATATATAAAATACAAAAAAAAAAGAAGTTTAGTGTATGTATTTCTCCTAAATTTGAAAAATACAAAAATAGTACTTTATATTTTATCTTTTTATAAAAAACAAAAATTACAAAAATAGTTTTGTTTTAATTGCCAGTCTTATTTTGATAGTTATTTTGCTTGCGTAGGATTAATTAAATAAGGTCGTATTTTTATTCTCGGTTATGGGGAAGGAATAATATTTGAGTTCAAACGACCCATTTTTAGGCTCAATACCTACTAACCTACCCTAAAACCTAGACTTATAAATACACCGACTCTTCAGACATTACAAGAGCCATGACTCTTTAGACATTAGAAGAGTCACGACTCTTCGGACACAATAAGAGACACGGACATGGGGGACCTCTTCAGACTTTGGAGATAAAAAGAGAATACACGGACAAAATTAAAGGGAGATAGATTTTGAAAGAGAGAGACTTTGGAGACCAAAAATGTGGATACTACTCACGTCTTTTTCTTCATTTCAGAGAGGGCACTAATGAAAACCCTACGCTGCCCAAACTCCATCCTCACCGGCGAACTTCCAAACAACCACGACACTGCCAACGTCCCCCACCTACTGTCACGCCGGACAGATCCTTAACCAACAGCGGTGACCGTGGTACGCCATTGACGAGCAGCAGCATTGCTGCGTCGACTAGTCACGACCCTCGTCGTCCACCCAAACCACCCGTCGACGACACTACCAACGACCCCCACCAGACGAACAGCTGCTGCTGCAGCTTCTTCGACAGTGCTGCTGCTTTATGTCATGACGCACAACAGCCTCACGCTGCCTCGTCGCCCACCAGCAACTGAGCAGCTCATCTCTAACCATCGTTAAACGACGCAGAACAGTCCGTCGACCACACTACCAACAGCCCGTCGAGGTCGTTGGCAATCTTGGTTCGAGTTTTCCGTTTCCGTTGAGATCGTCGTTGTTCGTCGAGATCCGATACGTCGAGGTTGTTGTCCGAGTTTCTGTTCCGTTGCGGTCATTTCCGGTTAGTATTCTAAGTTGTAATTTTTAATCGATGAAAGGTCTAATTCTTTTCCTTTCTTCTTGCGATTTTGTCTCCTAAATTTGTCGTCTAATGAATGACTTTATGAAATGTTCTCGTGATTGACATTATCGTTTATGTGTTGATGTATTCTTAGTAAATGAATTGCTATGTTTGAATTGCTGTCTTTATTTGGAATATGAAAAAAATGAACTGATTTAATTTTGAGTTATTGGAATATAATATTATGATTAAATCTCATGTTAAACGATATATGCCTATCATTTTTCATTCTGAACTAGCATGCTAAGTGGTTATTTTAAATCATAATTGTGTTTCCTTGAATGTATTTTGTCTTTTACAGTGAATGTATTTTGTCTTTTGTCATCTCATTATTAATTTAGTACATTGGAATAGTGAGA